ACACAGTGGCTGCAAGAATAGATCAGAGGCTAGGAATACTGTGGCAAATAACTCGCTCCACTCCAAAGCCTGTCCATCATCTACAAGATATAAGTTAGGAGCGTGATGGAATACTCCCCGCTTGACACTATCCAGAATAAAGCAGCTCACTTGATTGGCTCAACATGGACAAACATCCACTCCCTCCACCACTGATGCTCAGTAGCACCAGTGTGTACTATCTACAACATGCACTGCAGAAATTCACCAAAGATCCTCAGACAGCACCTTCCAAACCCACAACCATTTCTATCTAGAAGGACACAGGCGACAGATACATGGTAACACCACCACCTGTAAGTTTCCTTCCAGCCACTCTCTATCCTGACTTGGAAATATAACGCCGTTCCTTCACTGTCACTGGGTTGAAATCCTGGAATTCTCTCCCTAAGGGCATTGTGGGCCAACCTACAGTAGGTGGACTACAGCGGTTCAAGAAGGCAGCTCACCACCACCTTCTCAAGGACAACTAGGGTCAGACAATAATTGCTGGCTATCCAGTGACACTGCACATCTACTCTCTCTCAAACAATCACCCTACTGTCTCTCACACAACACACAAATACATTTCATACATGCACACAACATGCATATACATGTGCACACTCATCCCAACACAAATAAAACCACATATGCACACACCACACATCCACAAATACTACACGTAACACACGTGCACCATGCATGACATGCACACACCATGCATCCATATCATGTGCATGCACTCACATGATGCAGAAACATCAATGCACAGAAACACATTCCCAAACACACATTCAGATGTGCACACAGCACATGCGTTCACGCGCACACACCATGCATCCATGTGCATGCAAACAGCACAGACAAACACACTATATCTGCACACATTCACAAACACATACAACATATGTACACATCACTTTTGCTGAAACACTCACACACATACACTCTCTCTCTCTTCTCTAAGATCACTTCATAATCTTCACACTTTTTCCTACATCACCATTCAATGATGGGTGATGTAGCGGTACTCAAGTGTGTTTGACTTAATTGTTACTCAAATATTTCAAGCACTTCTGGTATAAACTGTAGAGCATTGGCAGCACCTCTGACAACTTACAAATTGCAAACTAACTTATCAAAACATAATTAATTTTAGCATTTGTGGAGATGGCTGTGGGTTTAACATTTACTCGCTTTCCTTTCTACTTCATAGAAATTAACAGGTACTCATTCCCATGGGTCTCTTATGTTAGCCATGGAATTAAAAGAACTTTTGGTAGATGATTTCTTATTAAAACACACTTCACAACTTTTCACTCATTCTTCAATATGTCTGTCTATGTTAGAATACAAAAACAGCTTTTTGCTACAGTTTTCATATGGGCATGTCAGTGTGATTTTGATGAAGTTTCTCTAAAAACCTTTCTTTATAACTTCGTAGAATAATGACTCTGAAACCCCAAATTAAACAGCCTTGACAGTTCTTTTCCGAATGTGAAATACTCCAGCAATTTCTCATTATCATATTCTTTAGGCCAGCCATGATTGAGTACCATTGAGCACCACATTCTTGTAGGTTTCTTCAATAATTTACCTGGCCAGTACTGGCATAGTCTTGCAAAATATTGGTTGTATGTTGTCCTTTATTTTGACTTCAGTCACATGATGTCTAATTTTATCATTTGGTCTTCCTTAATTAAAACAAATCCCTATGCTTCTTTTAAGACTCTTGCAATGTGAGACATATACCTGTTGACTCCTATTATAAATAACTTGGCCCAGTTTAACCCTATCTTCATAAATCAATTCCTTCCTATCGAGGGACTACTACTGATGGCAAATAATAGAATGTATTCTACCCTATCACTAACTTGACCAGCACTGGAATAGAGGACGTGGTGGAGGCGGGTACAGTTACAACATTTAAAACACATTTGGACAGGTTCATAGATAGGAAAGCTTTAGAAAGATAAGGGCCAAACACAGGCAAATGGGACTTGTTCAGTTTAGGAAACCTGGTCGGCATGGACAATTTGGGCCGATGGGCCTGTTTCTGTGCTGTATGACTCTATCTCTTCAATACTGTTGTTGGAACAGTTTGTGCAAAGGGGAATGTGACCTATGAATTTCTTGTACTCTCCTTCTAGAACAGACACTGGTCGAGCTGTATCAGTGATGAAAGCGAGTTCTGAATCTCTGACTTTCATTTCTACTGTGAGTTCTTGAATTATATTCTCAGCTTTAGTACTCTTACCTTCCATTTGTTGTTTTACTTACTTTTATAACTGAGTGCAACTCTTGATTTTGTTCAGTAACAACTGTAACAGGTCTTTCATAAAATGACAGGTATAACACTTTGAATGGAAATAGGAGAATTTAGATAGGTAATGGCTACTGTGGCAATGGTAATGTCTAAATTTCTGTCTCTGAGACTGTGAACGTGGCCTCTGTAGATCTCACTGAAATCCAGTGAACCTCCTCTGCTGCCCTAGTTTCCTATTATAACTTTTCCTATCTCTTTCTGCTATTTACATGGATGTGGCTCCATTGCAGACCACTTCAGTATCAGTTTATTGACTGTATCCAAATGTCTGACTTGGATTTCATTGTTCTTTAGCCTTCCTACAAAAGGTCTCTAAGATTTACTTGTATTCTCTACATTCACAATGGTGAGATACTTGCTTTAACTCAAGAATGTAATCTGCAACAGTTTCATAGAAACACAGAATATAGGAGCAGGATTAGGCCATTCAGCCCTTCGAACCTGCTCTGCCATTCAATCTGTTCATGACTGAATATGCAACTCAGAGCCTTGTTCCTGATTTCTCCTCATACCATTTGATTCCTTTAGCCTTAAGAATTACATCTGACTCTATTGAAAACATTCAATATTTTATTCTCAACCGCTTTGTGTGACAGTGAATTCCACAGGCTCACCACTCAGTGAAGAAATTTCTCCTCCTCTCAGTGTTAAATGGCTGACTCTGTACCTTTGGACTGTGAACCCTAGTTCTAGACTCCCTGGTCATCGCAAACATCCTTCCTGTATTTACCCTGTCTAGTCCTTTGAGAATTTTGTGATTTTCATTCCTCTAAATTCCAGTGAACATAATCCTAACTGAAACAAAAACAAATTGCTGGAAAAGTCCTAACCAATGCAGCCTCTCTTTTTACGTTATTCCTGCCATCCCAGGAATCAGTCTGATAAAACTTTGTAGCATCCGTCTATAGGCAGAACAACTTCCCTCAGATAAGAAAACTGCAGCTGCACACAATACTCCAAGTGTGGTCTCAGCTTGGCTGTGTATAATTACAGCAAGACATCACAGCCCCTGTACTTGAATCCTCTCATGGTGAAGGTCAGCATACCATTTGCCTTCTTTACTACGTGCTGCACCTGAGACTGGTGTCTAAGAACACACAGACCTGTCATTCCACCACCTCATTTCCCAATCCATCACTATTCAGATAATAACTTGCCTTCTTACATTTGCTACCAAAGTGGACAGCTTCACATTTACCCACATATTTCATCTGTTAGGCGTTTACCCATTCAACTGAATTTGCCCAAATCTTACAGAAGCATCTCCACATCCTCCTCACAGCTCACCCTCCTACCCAGCATTTTGTCATCTGCAAACTTGGAGATTTTACATTTAATTCCCTCACCCAAATTATTAATATATGTTGTGAATAGCTGAGGTCCAAACACCAATTCTTGTGCCCCAAAAGGCACTGGCTGCCACTTTGAAAAAGACCCAATTATTTCTACTCTTTGTTTCCTGTCTGCCAAAAAAGGTCTGTATCTAGTCAGTACATTACCCCAATCTCACTAAGCAACTATTGACTTTGTAATTCTCAGTGCAGTTTCATTCTTAATTGTGCTATAATAAGAGCCCAGAATTTAATTAACTTCAGGATCATTCATAAGACTGGTCTTTTGTGGGAAACAGTGGTTACACGCCAACGTAAAAGCATTTGAGTCTCTCATGGTAAGAAAAATACTTGCCTTATCCTCGTCTTCTATTTTACAGGCTTTCACCAAAATGTGAATCTCTCATCTTAATGAGACCAGTGTTCTTCACTAGAGTTCAATTTCCCAAAAATTAGTTCTGATTATTTTCATCCATGCTGATTCAATGAGTTGTTCATGAACATGACACATGCATTTGGCCAATTTTTTGAACTACACATACTTCATTGTAGTCAACGTTTGGAGTTCCAGAAAGCGTGCTGCAATGGTTTTCAGTCCTTAATTTCTCAAAAGGAAATTTAAAAAGAAATTCTATCCTCTCCTTGTCACCTTCTTTTTCTGTTGTGTATTGCATTGAGATAAGATTCTCACATGGTGACTCACTGAAAGCAGCCATCATTTAAACATTGCTCAACAAAAAAGGCAACAGAGAGGGCAGCTGTTTACAGTATACTACAAACTTTGTAAATCATGGCATTCTATAGGGATTAATACTACAAAAATGGTTGTTTACCTTTAGTTACAAGGAGGGGACTCCTAAGGTTTGAAGCATTGGGATGTTAAGATTGAAACATTAAGTACTTAAATACAATGCCACATAAACATGAATGTGGATACAAGGAACTGTCAGGTTTATTGTGGCCACTCTAACAATAAGAGAGTCCACTTTTGAATGGATGGTTACGTGAGTAGGGCCAGAATCTTTGTGACAGAAACATTTTTCTTTAAGTGACTATATTGCAGAGAACAACCATAGTTCTGTGATGTTTTTATTTGGAAATTGAAGTGCATTTATGGGGCAAAAAGCAGTTCTTTTAAAATTTGTAGGGTACTTTTTTCACTGTGTTATTACCATATGCCATTTAAATAGCTAGAGAAGCCATTCAGAGCTGACTTTTTGTACATGAAACTATTCTGTCAATAAGTGTCTCAAAAAACCTACAAATTAATATGTGCTATTTGAAATTCTATGAGGACTAAATCAGATGTCTTGACTTTGCAGGTTGTCACTTTGTGGTACCGGGCACCAGAAGTTCTGCTGCAGTCTAGTTATGCAACACCTGTTGACCTATGGAGTGTTGGCTGCATATTTGCAGAAATGTTCCGTCGAAGGTAAGGCTCATTATTGGTGCAAGAATATTACAATTATTTAATGAAGTCTGGAGGAGATAATCTCCTTCTAAAGCTTAGATGGGGGAAGTATTCCTCTAAGCTCTATGTATAGTAGTATTGTGTGACTATTTCAGAAGGTATTTTAAGCTAATCAGCTACTGAGTCAGTCCTGTTTGATGATGGGGCCTGTCGAACGTGCTGCTTGTCAGATCCATGCTCTGAATGGGTGACCTGCTATGTCCCACCAACTTTAGGTTCATGCTAGATTGTGTGGCCCTAAGGCTGGCCCAGCTGTGAAATGTTAGATCTGGCTGGGGAACAGTCCTAGAGTGGAAAAACTGAGGATGCAGCAGTCTTCACTATTCTTGTAAGGGTCAGAAGCAAACACTTACTCCTATTTGCTTCATATGATTATGTGCTTAACATTGAAAGTAATTTTCTCTTCAGAGCAGATTTTTGAATGCTTAGTGTGCCCTCAGAACTACTCTTGTTTTGTAGTATTGTAGTTTAGTATTTGTAGTATTGTACTTTAGTATTGTAGGGTCGAATATTCTTAATTTAAGCCTGATCTGCATGAATTAATCCGAGACCCATCTGTTTTGGGTCAGCTAATGGAAGGCCAGTGTTAAAGTGGTAGTGGAGCAAAATGGAACTGTAAAGTCAACCAACATGATTTAAGTCTGCTTTAGTCCTAATTCATTAAAACAGATGGAATTGAATTCCCCATATACTCTCTTCACTATTTCTCGTGAAACCAGAAATATGTTTGGAATGAGCTTCTCATTCTGCTTGTACTAGCAAACTTTCATCTACACAATGAACCTATGTCATCGACGTAAGAGATTGTGCACTATTGCGTATGTAATACCAAATAACTGAGTATGGAAGTTTGACTTCTGTTTGAGGTGCTTAGAATGTTAAAAGGATTTGGTTGAGTACAACTGGAGAAACTATATTCTAGTGAAAGATCCATGAACAAGCAGGTGTAATAATAGAATTGGAGGCTGGTTTGTAAAAATCTTCAAAAAACAGGAAGCACCTTTTTTTTAATGTGCAATGATAATGGAAATCTGGAACTCACTCTAATGAAAGAATTGGTTATTGGGTCCTAAAGCACTTTCAAGATTGAGATGGGTAGATTTTTTTGGGTAAAGATATCAAGGGATATTGAATTGAGGTATAGATCAGCCATCGTCTACTCAGATGTTTGGGCAGACTTGAGGGGTAAAATGGCTTCCTGTTATATTCCTAACTCGCTAGGGAATGTAAATGTTCTTTTTGGTTTGCTGTGTGACACAGACTTCTGATTTGTTCATGTCACCTTTATAGTTTGATGCTTTGGTTTTGTTTACCACTGTCCAAAATAATAATTACATGAGGAGTGGTGAAGGTAATAGCAATAAAGAGAAAGTACAAAGGCCTAGAAATTGGTCAAGACAGTGCCCACTCTGACAACTAAGATCCCAATATAGCAGACAAAAAGTGCACACCATTTCTGTCCATATACCAGTGTCTGCCAATGTAGATAAGGACAAAATATTCTTTACTCGATGCCTGAAACACGCATTAGATCCTTTGCATTTGCAAATAATGGCCATACCCGGAGGTGTTTAGATATGGTGAATCTAGCACTGGAGACCCTTGGGCCTCATTATTCATCCACAGGGAACATTCTCATCACCCTACTCCATGCACCCAAAATGACAAGGTGATGGAATCTCTGATTCAATCTCTTTTCTAATTTATCCAACTTTAAGGTTAATCATCAGCTCTCTGCATGTGACTTCATTGAGTTTTCTAAGAATCCTGCTGCAGTTCTTGAGGATATCTTCACTTTGTGCCACACCTACACTCTGTGAAGCAGCAGAATGCAGTGACCAGCTCTTTATCACAGGCCAGTTGCTGAGACATATCACATGTATTGTTATCTGCTGTTTTACAGTAAAGAATTGTCGTGCATGTCTACGTGATGGAAACCTGAAAGAAGAATTTTTTTTTTGCAGCACCCTTAGAGTCTTTGTCATCTGTTGAGGATGACAATTCTAAAGCATTTGGGAAGCTTGTAAAACTTTGGTGATAACTTCTATTTTTGCTTTTCAACATAAATATGCAGAAATAATTATAATTATACTGATCCTGATGAACAATCACACTTATAAAACTGAAAAGCATACAACACTTTGAGGTTCCTGAAATAATTTACAAATTAAATGTGCAGAATTTTGAATTTGCAGTGAATTAAACATGTCGTTTGCAGTGGCAACCAAACTGCTGAGACACATTGACTGATTCAGCTTCATGCAGATATTGGTGCTGAAATTTTCAGCTTGAGAGCAAACCTGATTCTCCTCCCTCTTGACCCCAGAATTCATTTCTCATAAACAGAAAATCTGAAGGCTGATAATCACAAATATCAGCTGGAAAATGTAGAGATTTCAAAAGTAAGCACAACCACACAGTCTTCAACTATAGTTGCCCAAGCAAATTAAGCTGGGGGTGCCCCAGGCTGGACATTTCTGCACCTATTCAGATTAAACTTTGGACATGTTGGGGGCAGGTCATTATAGTGGAAACTAAAACTGGGTGAGATGTAATATGTGCTGCTGATTCACAGCTCAACATCATGCAAATTCCAAGTCCGCCCCATTTAGGTTTAAGGAATTATCCCTTGTTAAAAATAAGAAATGAATAAAGTGTTTGAGGCATTGTGGGGAGAAACTATACTTTCAAAGTATTGGATAACATCAAGATGAACAATTTAAAGACAGACATCATTGAAGCCACTTGAAGGGCAACAGTGTAGAAATGAAAGTGTGGAGAACTGATGAATTGCAGTACTCCAATGACTTGTGCACAAAATCTAGACTGATAGCCCCACGACAGTACAAAGGGAGTATTACACTGTCAGAGCTACCGTATTTTCCCCCCTGTTTTCCATCTCGGGTGAGCATGAAAATTTCTAAGACACTATTTCTTAATGCTACTCAGGCTCACTGCCATTCAGACTTTCACTTTTCTCTTGTGCACGCAATTCTTCACCAAGCCTGGAATCGTAAGCTTCATTCAAACCTACAAATAGAAGGACAAGTAATATTAAGACATGATTGTTTAACCATTATGAATCAAACAGTGAACAAGGGTAATGTTGGTTTTATTGGTCATGCAGTTCTCCAGACTCCCTTTTCAATCAGGATTACTGTGACCCGAGGTACAAAAAGAAGAATCTTTCTTAACAGAGTGGTAATTGGAATAGATTACTAGCATGGGTGTGAAACAAGAAACCAAATTATGTTTGAAAAAAGCACTGGGATGTAATAAACAAGTGAAATTCAGTGTTATTAGAAATGCAGCAAAAGAATATTGTGGACTGGAAGACAAGATAGACCAATGGCTTTCTGCCTGAAGCTCTTACATAAAAGTGCTGACTTGACATTCTACACTTTGAACATCATTCATTTAAATTGTATCCTGCTCTTATAGTTACCCAATTCTTATAGTACACATTTTTTATTATTAGTGAGTGTTGTATTGAAACATCCCATTGTAATCCTGAAACATATCCAATTTCTGCTCAATACAGTCTTCTATTCCTTCAGCAGTAAGTGAACTGGTAATATTACTAAAAGCAATGCCAGTAATGCTGTTTATTTCTAGGCTTACGAAGAGAATTTCATTTTTTGAGAAGAGGGAGAATAATACTTTAACACTATTGTAATGATTAAGTATAATCACTAAATCAGCCAGGATCCTGCAATTATTCTCAATCTTCTAGCTCTCCATCACAGTTAAGTAACACGATAAGAAATTAACTTTGAAATCATTGAATCCCTACAGTGTGGAAGCAGGCCACTCGTCCCATATCGTCCATACAGATCCTCCTAAGAACAGCCCACCCAGACCCACCCAATCCCTGTAATTCTACATTTTCCATGGCTAATCCACCTAGCCTCCACATCCTGGACACAATGGACAATTTAGCACAGCTAAATCTTTGGACTGCGAGAGGAAAGCCTCAGGGAGAATGTGCAAACTCGACATGGATACTTGCCTGAGACTGGAATCGAACCTGGGTCCCTGGCACTGTGAGGCAGCAGTGCTAACCACTGAGCCACCGTACCGCTCAGAAACTTAATACTTAATGATTACAGTTATGTTCAGTATTATTCTCCCTCTTCTGAAAATCAAGAAACCAGGAATAGTTCTCTCCACGACAGCTTCCCCAGGTGGTAACAGATATAATTCCTTTGGCTGAGGTAGTTCCTCTGCTGTGTGTTACTGAACAGAAGGTAGTTAAGACCGTTATCTTCGTTACCTGTGGTTAAACTCTAATATTAGAATGTTAAGATTTTGAATGATTTATAGTCCTGTGGCTTTCCTTTATATTATCTCTACATATCCTTCTGTTGTCTCAACCATGAAGTCATCCTGAAAAAGCCACAAGAACAATTCCTTAGCATGCACCTCTTAACTCTTGTACTTTACTTCAAGAGTTTCTTGCAAATAATAAGTTGCTGGGTTTTCATTTTAAGAGAAAAGGCAAGTGCCAATTATATTTCAGCATAAAAATCCAAAGGCTGGGGTCCTGGCCTGTGTGCCGGTTTTGCAGTGCTGTTCCTTAGACTGGCAATGTTCATCTTAGCAAGGGGAGACTGGGACAACAATCCTGCCTGCTCCATGAATCAGGCAAATTGTGGAGTTGGAAGTCCTTGTTAAAGGGGTTGTTGAAATTCCAATGTGTCTCCTGAGACTCCCGAAAGGTTCTTATTGCACATGCAGAATGTTGTGCACTTTTGTGCCCTGCCAGTAAAAAGCATGATGACACCCAAAATAAGCACAATAAATATGAATGAATGGGACAGAATGCCATCACTGCAGTACTGACAGGAATAGCGCGTGTGTACTTGCAGTATTCACAAGGATACATGTCTGGGACTAAGCTGAAGGCAGATGGGTAGAAAGTGGAGAGCCCCATACAAGGATTAATGGTGCAAAGGGAGGCA